TGGTAACATTGGAATACATGAGATTTCAAAATGCTATAGCACAGAAAAGCCTTTTCCATTTGAAAAGTATGTTATGAAGAGAAATTTATTGGATGTGATGCAGAGCTCTTGGTACACTCTCCCAATACAATGGGTGACTCAAGGATAGAAGGAAGGTATGGTACCTTGAAAGTCATGTTGCAATAACGTTTTTAGGCCAGAAATATGGTGGGTCTATTGAGAAGGACATCACAAAGGCTCCTTATTACCACAACAGCACCAAAAGGAAAGATGTAGAAAAAAATTCTAACTACTTGCTGATGACTTAAATCCTCATACATATATACACACCCCCACAACACACCTTATCCGGCAGCCCATACAGGGTATCATCAAACAGTTACAACGCATACTCAGTGACAAAACCCTGAAGTAAATCTTTCCTGATCCCCCTCTTCTGGCCTTCAAACACCTCCCAAACCTCTCCAAGCTCATCATCAGAAGCAAGCTCCCCACGGACCAAGACACACAAACTAAAAGCAGCACCAGACCCTGCCAGAACAACAGATGCAAAACCTCTAGACATCCCTCCAATGCAAGGATAGTCAACACCCCTACACCACATTTTTCATTATCCATGGGTCCTACACGTGCCTATCACAACACGTGGCGTACCTCATTCAATTCACTAAATGCCCCAACACCAACAACGTGGAAGAAACCAAACAATCACCGTGCTCTCAAATGAACTCTCACCAAAAAATTATAAGAGACCAAAAAACCAAATCCACTGTGGGTGAACACTTTTTAGAAAGCGATCACTCTTTAATCTGACCTCACAGTCTTCATCCTCAAAGACAACCTGCACAACACTTTCAAAAAAATGAACTCAGGAGCTTACATTCATAGCTTTGGCTAGATACCAAAAATCAGGGACTGACCAGACACTGGATTTATGGTTTATTACCAAAATCTGTAACCCATTTAATGCCCCCACACAAACACACACACACACCCCTTTTCTCTTCCCCATTTTCCCCTTGCGGCTGGAAAGATGTTAACAAGCCATTTCACTTGAAATGTGTGTTAACTACTTATGCTAAACAATCTGTACCATCTTGCATTTGTCTGTGACACAGACAGAGTAGATTTCTCAGACCTGAAGAAGAGCTCTGTAAGCTCAAAAGCTTCTCTCTCCCTCACCAAGGAAAGTTGGTTCAATAAAAGTTATTGCCTCACCCACATTATCTCGCTAATCTTCTGGGACCACCACTGCATACAATGTGGTTGAAGGAATCTTGCAAATATTCTGAAGATCAAGTACACAGCTCTATCTAGGTATGTCTACAAAGCCTATCATCATAACATCTGGGCAATCTGCAGAGATTGAGAAAAAAATCACTGTACATATGGACGATCTTTGATCCTTATTTGACAAGACTGTGTTTCTAGAAATAATGCCATGTAAGATGCAGAAAGGTGGGAGACACTACATGTAGTCTTTTGTAGGGAGAGGGAAAAGCTGACCTACAAAGACATCAGCCTTACATTGGAAAGTAAAAGGTGAGATGTGCATATCCTGACCTCCAGAAGCAAGAAGTTCAATAGCCCAGGGAATTTCACCAAACATCCTCCCTCTGGCATCCAGCCTCATCCTGGGCTCCCTCAGTCATAGCATTCCTGTTGACTGAAGCGTTCTCAATTGGCTACTCAGAGGGTAAGGGTAAGGTTGCCAGTGAAGTAGCTGGGTCACAATTCAAAGGTTTTTAGTTATTGGTATTTCACCCATTCTCCCCCCGCCACACATCCTACCCTTCAGATGAGCATAACTCTTTTTTGTACTGTTATCTACTTCAGAAATCTAATTTGAGAAATTTACTTTAAGGGCTCTACTCTAGTAACACTAGTTTTATTTATATATATATATATATATATATACATATATATATATATATTTCTATATATAGGGTGCTTCAGAGAATCTCCAATTGCTTTACAAACACTATGGCCATGTCCACACTATGATGCTACAGCCACATATCTATGGCACTGTAGTTAGGCCGCTGTAACCTCATAATATAGATGCAGACTACAGCAACAGAAGGGATTTTTCCTGTCACTGTAGGAAAGGTAGCAAGGTTGATGGAAGCTTTCTTCCCTGTATCTAGCTGTGCTTATGTCTACACTGCCTACACTACAGCGCTGCCGCGACAGCGCTGTGACGTGGGCTGTGTAGTCACGTGGGCCGTGTAGCCAGGGGAGAGCTCTCCCATTGATAAAAAATAACCACTCCGAACGAGGGGTCGTAGCTTTATCACCAGGAGTGCGGCTCCCGGTGATAAAGCACTGTCTATACTTTTGTCGCTCAGGGGTGTGTGTTTTCACTTGACCTGAAGGACTAAAGTTTTAGCGCTGAAAGTGACAGTGTTGATACAGCCTGTGTCTACACAAGGGGCTAGGTCAGCATAGCTATGGCACTCTGTGTGTGGATTTTTCACACCACTGAGCACTGTACCAGTGTCGACGACCTAAGTTTTAAATACAGACCAGGCCTAAGCCACATCAAACAGAAGTGAAGTATTACTAACCCAATTACAAATGGGGAACTGGAAGCAGAGTGGTTACTTGATTTGTTCAGTCTCACGCAGGAAGTCAGTAGCACGGTATGAAACAGAACTCAGGAATATAGATTCCTATTGTGCTACCTAACGGTTGTTGCAGGGCACCTGCCCTATACCATGTGAAATGCATTCCAAAACCTGTCACAAATCTTACTGCAAGTTTGGAAAAAAATTAAGTTCAACACACGCCGTACTTAGTCATTATAACACACAAATACACTAACCGAGCATGCCAAAGGATAAAGAACAGGTAGTTATTTAGCATTTCTATTTAGTCTGAGTGTAGAGCCTAGGTAATAAGGATGAAGACCTACAAAGCAAAATTACTACCAGCAACTGCCCTTTGACATTCTAAAGTGTAAGTAGCTTGTTCTATTTAATGTATTACATTATTACCTGTGCCTAAGGACATGATGCTATATGCTCCCCTGATCTACTGCCAGGTAGCCCCTGGAAGGAAAAACTAAGTAGGCACATGACTGTACTTGACCTACTCCCACAAGCAAAACCAATATTTATATTTGTGCCTCAGGGAAATATAAACCATGAATCACTCTAATCAATCAACAATTAAACTAGGGAAGCTACAGCAAAGCGCTGAGGTTTCTCATAGGTGCAAGGGAGAAACTCCATTGGGAGAGAAGCTTACAGTCATTGCTTACATGTCTATCGAAGAACAAATGCAGTAAATTAAGCCTCTTGGGAGAAAAAAATCTAAAGCTTGAAATCTTAACAGAAGTTGGAGAAAGCTGATGTCCAATACTCTGAAATGCATCCAGCCTCAAGCATTATCCAGAGTGAGCTTCAGACATAGGCTGGGTAGGCAACCACCTAGGGTGTCAATTCTGAGAGCATTTCTACCACAAGCAGCAGCCACATGGCCAAAAGTTACCAGTGCTTTCAAACTATCCCAAGAACACAGGCTGTGGCAAGGCGGGGCCAGCCAGAAGACTCTGCCCTTCAGGACTCCACCTCCAGGAGCACCAGGCTGCAGAAAGAAGTTAACAATCTAGGGTATGTCTACACAGCAATTAAAAACTCACAGCTGGCCTATGCCAGATGACTCGGGTTAAGGGCTGTTAACTGCAATGTAAACATGCGGGCTGGAGCCCAGGCTGTAGCACTGTGTGTGGTGGGAGAGTCCCAGAGGATGAGCTGAATGTCTATTCGGCGATTAAACAGCACTTTAGTCCAAACTCAAATCAGCTGGCATGGGCCAGCCGTGGATGTCTAATTGCAGCATAGACACACCCTAGAGGAGACAAGCTCCTCACTCCAGCATGGGAGTGAGACAGAAGAAGAGAGATGGGATGGACCCAGGGATGTCATGCAACAGACACCTGCTTGTCTTTGGGAAAGGGACACCAAAAATAATTACTTGCCTAGTTCATTAACACATCACTGGCTGGACTATTCCACCGTTGGCTGGAATGTATGCCTGCCAAAAGGCCACTGATGAGTAAGATACAAGGCAACTGCAGAATGTACTCAGACTTCAAAGTATTCAGGTTTTCACTGAAACAAAACTGCTTGTGGACTGAAGTTTTACCCTGATCTGGCAACTATACCTTCCCTCACACAGGATATACTTATAATTTGTCTTAGTCTTGACACTAAATGAGTCTATTTGATTTGGGTCTTGCCTGCCTTTGAAGTCATTTCGTTCCCTAAACCCCATTCTCTGTGACTGTGTCAACCTAGATTTGCACTATGGGGGAGGGGGAGCAGAGGTAGGGTATTCTATGGGGTAAAGTCCCAGGGCTCTGGAATCTGCTTCTGTTGTTGCTTGGCCAGAAAACACATTCGTTCACCTCTAAGGCATGCTACAAGACCTTTTGTTGTGCAGATGATGCAAGTGAGCCCAGCCCTTTTTGCGAGCTTGGGTTATTGTGGCAATTCCTTTCTGTCAGGTATTCTGAAGTTGTGTAAACCGGTACAGAGATTAGTGCCAGGAACACAGACGTATAAATCAAACACATCCACCCAGTTTAGCTAGAGAACCGATTGCAGCCCAGTTCCAGGGGGGGATTTCCGCCCCAAAGGGCCAGCCAGCGCCTACCTGCTGGGGCAACTTCCCATCACCTCGTACCCGGCCCCCCTAAGAGGAGCGGCAGGCCCAGAGGAGCGCTCCCCCCGGCTCCCCAGCCCCACCGCAGGGCAGCCAGGGTTTCTCCTCACAGCTACACCAGGAGCAGCCTCAAGCCCGCCCCGGGGGTCCCACTCCCCGGCGGAGCCCGCCCCGGGGGTCCCAGGCCCAGGGCGGCTCCGCGGGCGGGCTGGCAGGCAGGTGAGGGCCCCGCAGGAGCTTGGCGGCCCGGCCCTCAACCCCCCGCCCCCTGACCGGGGGGGTGTCGGTCCTTTGTGCCGCCGCCGCCCCCCCCGGCTCGGCCTCACATTCACCTGACGGGCGCTGGCTGGACCGGCCGGGCCCGGAGGAGGCCGCGGACTGTGGTGTCGCCTGCCGCCGGCTCTTGGGCCACGGGCTCCTCCGCTAGCGCCGCCGCCTCTCCTCCCCGGATACCTCGGGAAGTGGGCGGGGCTCACCGGATATGCAAATAAAGGGGCGTGGCCCCCCACGCGCTCATGAATAATTCGCACGACCACCTCCCTCTAAGAGCCAATCAGGAGGCGGCGAGCCAGGCTCATGAATACCGCCTCAGGGCAGCCGCCTTGTTCAAACGGAGTTGACGGTTTAATACATCGGTGAATATTAACAAGCGAACTGATACGGATAGAAGGTGAATGCTAATGAGCTCATAAATACTAATGAGCCTTGGCCCCGCCCATCCTGCTGCACTTTGGCTTACCTGCCGGCCGCATCACGCCGCCAGCCTCGCCCCGTTTCCATCCGCGCCCAGGGAAGCAATAGCCGCTAGGCTGCACCCCGCCCAGCACGGACGGGGGAAAGCCCAGCACCGGACCCTGCTCCCTGAGCCCCTTCCAGTCTCACACCAGTATAACTGCCCTAGTGTAAACGGGGCAACTCCTAATTCACACCCGTTGGAGATCGGAGCCAGGCTCTAAAGCACAGGGGTTACATGGCACAGGACAACTCAGCCCTAACTGCATGGTGCTACACACATCTGCTAGGGTAAGGAAAGGTGCCAGGCAGAGTGTGGGCAACTTGGCAGCTAGCTCGTCTCCAAAAAGGAGGTAAAGGTCATTTCTGGTAATACACCAGCCCCTTCGCACCCACCAGCCCACCTGCTTTCCCAGGGACATCTTTCTATTTAAAAATATATATATATATTGCCCTCATCTTACCAGCACTAACGTTAGGGGAAACGAACTATACTGGTTTCAGAGGAACAGCCGTGTTAGTCTGTATTCGCAAAAAGAAAAGGAGGACTTGTGGCACCTTAGAGACTAACCAATTTATTTGAGCATGAGCTGTCGTGAGCTACAGCTCACTTCATCAGATGTATACCGTGTACATCTGATGAAGTGAGCTGTAGCTCACGAAAGCTCATGCTCAAATAAATTGGTTAGTCTCTAAGGTGCCACAAGTCCTCCTTTTCTTTTTGCGAACTAAACTGGGTAGATTGTGAGAAGGGGATGTATGCAAAAGTGGGTATCAAATGCAGCCAGCAAACTGCAACAACATCTCTTTGCAACAGTGATCTCAGGTGTTACTTGTGGACACAACAGAACCACTAACCCAGGAACCTATCCTTGCAACAAAGCCCGTTGCCAACTGTGCCCACATATCTATTCAGGGGACACCATCACAGGGCCTCTTAACATCAGCCACACTATCAGAGGCTCGTTCACTTGCACATCCACCAATGTGATATATGCCATCATGTGCCAGCAATGCCCCTCTGCCATGTACATTGGTCAAACTGGACAGTCGCTATGTAAAAGAATAAATGGACACAAATCAGATGTCAAGAATTATAACATTCATAAACCAGTCGCAGAACACTTCAATCTCTCTGGTCAAACGATTACAGACATGAAAGTTGCGATATTACAACAAAAAAACTTCAAATCCAGACTCCAGCGAGAAACTGTTGAATTGGAATTCATTTGCAAACTGGATACAATTATCTTAGGTTTGAATAGAGACTGGGAGTGGCTAAGTCATTATGCAAGGTAACCTATTTCCCCTTGTTTTTTCCTACCTCACACCCCAGCCGTTCTTGTTAAACCCTGGATTTGTGCTGGAAATGGCCCACCTTGATTATCATACACATTGTAAGGAGAGTGATCACTTTAGATAAGCTATTACGAGCAGGAGAGTGGGGTGGGGGGAGGTATTTTTTCATGCTTTGTGTGTATAAAAAGATCTTCTACACTTTCCACAGTGTGCATCCGATGAAGTGAGCTGTAGCTCACGAAAGCTTATGCTCAAATAAATTGGTTAGTCTCTAAGGTGCCACAAGTACTCCTTTTCTTTTTTATTGTCAGACAAAAGGGAATTTTAACAATGTCCCTTTCCCTCCACAGGGACAGTCAATTTATGGGGCACACAGGTGCACATCCCTACTTCACAATGAGGTATATGTTCAAATCTATCCCTGCATAAAAGATTCTTGCATTGTTCATAGGTGGACAAAGCTGATTGGCTGATGATTAAGTAATGATTTATACTTATGCCTGTGATGAGTCACAGACTTGGAGGTAGCTAGACCACAGAGGTGACCTGGAGGAGGCAAAGAAATAAAGGGGATGGAGAAATTTAGTTCTCACAGAATGATGGAGCTGAAGGGACCATTCCTCCATAGGATTCTGCCCTTTTCATCTTGTTTTCCTACAGACGGCTCCAGTAGTATGGGGACTGATGTGTTAGCATGAAGAGTAAAGCTAGACACAGGAAATGACCCTATCATTCACTTTTTTGGTTTTGGTTTTGTAAACCTTTAGAGAAAGTTGAACACATTCTCGTCAGCACCCTTGGAAAGATCACATAGCTAGAAGCACCAGGATTGCTAGAAACACCAAGGTATGTGGCTTCATCACATGTCCTAATTTGAGAGGACATTAACTGGTCCAAAATACATGCTATCATGCCACACTGCTGCAGAATGGCACTTCAATGCCCAGTCAAAACTTTTTGTAGGTTGCCATGGTATGATGCTGCAACAGGCATTGACCCTATGGGACAAATTCCACAAAGTGGCCACTTTTCAGCTGTATTTCAAAAGAGATTTTAATTAACATGCCCCTTTCTAGCCTTCTGCTGCCATCTTGCTGCAACGTCAGATTGTTCAGTGGCATGGGCAGGAGGAGAGTCTGGATATCCATCTGCTTTGTGCTCCAATTCTTGTACAGGCATCCAAAGCAGCTGAGCAATACAGCTACAGTTTCTCAATCCTTCCCAAAGTGATTATTAGATTGTAATTGTTTCGTGCTGAGTCAGAGAGTCTTGTCTACCCCAGAGAAACTCATCCTATAGCTCTTGTGGAGTCCATCAAATTTTGCCTTGGAGTAAGAAAGTGCAACTTTGACATCAACGGGAGTTGGGTCTGCCTAACTCCAGGAATAAATTTGGAGCTCTTTTTGCTCTATCTAAGAACAGGCAGATCACAGGAGCTCTCCCCACACTGCCTGAAACATGGAAGAATGCTGAATAAGCAGAATGGAGCTGCCACCAACCTTGTCCAGCCCTTCGCATCCCCCAAGCAGGCAGAGGCACCCTTATTTCCTTCTAGTGGCTAGAAAGGTGCATTGGGGGTACAGGGAGAAAGAGGGTAAATATTAATTCAGAACCTCAGCAGGAGCAAATCAGCATCTTCTCTACTGAAGTCAGTGAAGCTATGCCCACTTACACCAGCTGATGATTTAGGCCAACATGTCAACTAATCACAGGGATAAACAAAGCAATCAGGGCACGAGCCTCTGCCACCTCACTGTGGCACGTGTGGCAATACACAAGGAAGATGTACCAAGCTTACAGCAGCACAGCATTAGGATTCCATGCCCCAAGGATCGTGCATGGACTCACAGGGTCTCTGGCTCTGTAGGACTGCATTCAGCGACAGCGCAGTTCCGCAGGCTGCCCTCTCACAGGACAAGACACTACTGATCAATTTTCACAGAAACACTAATAAATAAATTTCCAACAATGCAAGCCCCTGAGCAGGCAGGAGTAAGGCTTTTTTATTACTTTAGCCTCCAACCCTCCAAAAAAAAACAAAACACCCAAACATTCTGTATCAAATAAAATGCATCTAAAACATTTTCTGTAACACTTCTTAAGAAAGCTGAACCCTGAGCCCAGTAGTGTCAGAAGTCCCTTTTAGCCACAGACCAGGACTTTCTAGTACTAGTCACACTGGCATTTTTGCATAGACGTTAAAGAGTTTGGTATCAGGAGATTCAGGGGAAGGATTCCCATGCTGACAACGGTGGAAGGCAATTGGGTGATATCGTCAATGCTTAGGACAGTGATCCTCAGCCTGGAGCACTAGACCCACAGAACTACCAGGCTCAGCTCATGGGGAATTTGCAGGTTTAATCAGAGCTCCTCTCACTTGCAAGAGAGAGTGAGAAACGTGTTCCTGCATCCAGGAGAAAGGGCGTCAAATGGAAATGGGGTCACACTACTGCGATGGTGAGATGTCGTGACGCTGTGTGTGCTGTAGTTTTAATAGGGGATGATGCCGTCTCACAATGACAAATCTCAACGCAAACACCATAATACAATGTTAGCATGTTCCTCTGCAGTGACTACACGGCTCTCTGTGACTACACTGGCTTACAAAGCAGCTCTATAAGCAGCTCTATTACCGGCAAGGAGCATTCACCCAGGACTACTATCTCCTGCTGGTATACAAATACCAAGGCAAAGCCAGCATCATCATTTCTGTAGAAGAGTTCTTTTGCAGTGCCTTTATTTCTATCACACCAATAGTTTGCTAAGGATTTTATTAGATGGGTGTTGGTGCAGTAGAGTAACAGAGGCTTGCTATACCATTGACTGTCCTGGTTAGTTTATGAGTCTGATTCATCTACAGCAGTGGTTCTTAAACCATTCTTATGTTGTATTCAGACTGGCCTAGCCCAGTGGTTCTCAGAATACCACGTGTAGATTGCCAGTGAAGTTTGTTCTAAAGGCCCACAAAGACAAAGAGAATGTCATGGGGAAGTGGTCCAGAGGATGATAAGAGCTGAAGAACCAGTGGATTAAAGAACAAAGCAGTGCGTGCTCCAACTAGGAGGGGCCCTACTAAAGCACAGAACATCATGCTTGTTTGTTTGGAGTGTATCTTGCTTTTACAAATGAGCTAGTTCCTAGCTGGCTGAGGCCTGTAGCAGTGGATAAGGTGGTTACCTCTCCTACACGCAGACTGCTTATCAGAGATTCTATTTGATATAATAGTCCATGAATCAAGAAATTACGTCTTGAGTAAAGTCCTTCACCCTTTTCCCCAAAGCCATTTCTTTAAGGGATGATAAGTTCAGTGATAAATATCAACAGGCAGCTTGAATTCCTTGAAAGAATAAAAAGCAATGTCTCCATTGTCCACCAGTGCAAAGACCACCGGGACATCCTCGCTCTGATAGGCAAGCTGCTTCAGTGCCCGCAGGGA